ACGGCCAGACTAAGCTGGGGCCGTGCAGGATTGACCAGAGGGATGGGCAGGCAGAAAAGCCCCCAGCCCCACCACGGACGGATTTGGCCACGGCACATCAAAGCGTCGGGGCAGTTCCARCCGTGCTCCAGACGCTCCCTCCCATTTCCTGCTGGATTCCCGTCTCGCTCCCYGTGCCCGCATCAGCAAAACAGAGTGTAAAAATAGAGGCTGGGCTTCACCAAAACACAATAGTAGATTGTTCCCCGGAAAGGTCACTGGGGCGGCTGAGAATAGCTCCAAGAGCAGGGGAAAGGAATGTCTACCGGGGGGACAAGTTTGAAAGTGCCTGTCGGGCACCCCGCCCTCCTCGGGAGGTTTCTGCATCCCCATCGGTGGTGCAGGTCTCCCCTCCTGAGCCCCTGCGGTTTCAGAGCATCCTCAATCTTTCCCATCCACGCCTAGCCCCGCTCTCACATCCCGATTTTGGGATGGAAACGAAAATARAACAGAGTGAGAAATAAGGTGAAAGRAGAGGCARGAGGGCGAGAGARAAAGAATACGGCTGGGAGGRGAGAGARAGAGAGRGAGMGGGAGAAAGAGGATCCTGCTCGCTGCTCATCTCCGAGCTGCGTGTGACAGCGCTGTCCCCTGGGCACCACGGGCCGGCTGCAGCCTTTGTGTGGCGCTGGGAATGTCAGGGATGAGCCCCGGCACGAAGAGCAGACCCAGCAGTCCCAGAGAGCCATAAATTACTCCCTCCTGTTGTCACTGGCCTGTCACAGCCAAGAGGAGAAGCTTTCTCATCGGCTGCCGGGGTGGGAATGTTTGGGTGCTGTCGTTTCCGTGAGCATTTTTAATTCAATTATGTGGGAATGCCCTTAATGAAGCAGGTCCTTGCTCCTGGCTTCGGCGGTGCTCCCAGGCAGGGCTGCCAGTGCAGGTTGCCCTCAATGTGTCTTTGCCAGAAAGGCTGTAATTAAAAACAGATAATGAGGCTTGAAAATAAAAGCTGCCCAAATTTGGGGTTTTGTGTTTCATTGTCTTGGACATAGGCAATTCTCCCACCTTCTCTCTGGTTTTTAATTCAATTTTATCTCARTGTCAAGTCCCCTCTGTTCTCACTCCCCAGAGTCATCCATGCACCTGTAAGGGAAATTTTCTTCCACTGGAAGCCTGAATGTCACCGAGTTCCTGGGACATATTAGAAAACTGGATGATCAAAATGCCTTTAAATGTGTCTATTTCAAGCTTGTGAAGAAACCACTCTCTGCCAGAAAATTTCCTGCACTACAGACCAGAACCCCCATCACCGGTGAGAGAAGAACCCCAGCACCGTCCCAGCCGAGGGCAATGCCACCCATGACACTCAGGCTTTTCCCTCCTCCTCCACCAATCCCTTCTGTGTCATGAAGAAGGTGCTTTTCCCATTTTTTTTTCTGTTTTGTACAAACAGAGAAAAAACAGATTGGGTTGGGGCTTTTCACCATGTACTTGAATCCACAGAGCTGTGCACATCACCATTTGCAACACAACATGATTGTAAAAAGAAATAACATTTGATGAGAAGTGAATTAAATTTTCCATTGGAAGACGAGAATGGGAAGGGCTTTCTAAAATTACTTTTTAAAAGGAACACAAAGGCAGGTGATGTCTGCTACCTTCTGCAACATTTGCATCTCGGTGGCCAAGCAGCAGCAAGGTCTGGATGCTCTGGAGAAAAMGATGATGGGAAAAAGATCCTTTTTCCAGCATGGCCAACATGAAGCCACCAGCTGGGGACACAACCCTGGAGCCTGTCCCAGCAGAGCAGYACCCAGGGTCACCCCACAACCAAGGACAATCAGGAGTGATGCACRTTGACCACCCCACCGTGGAGAAGGTGGTATTGGAAGCCTCTCAGCCCTTTCCATAGGTTATGGAACCTACAAATGTGCACAAGGTGGTTTAAAGCCTTCACTCTGCAGGTGGTTTTCCCTTTTCTGTTTGCAAAAGCCTCGTGGCCATCAAGGACATTTTACTTGAAGAAAGCAAAAAAAGCAGAAGGGGGAGGTGAAAGGAGAATTGTGCTGGCAATGGAAGGAGGGAGGGAGAGAGGCAGAGGTGAGGGGCAGAGATAACTGGTGGGTGAGCTATCAGCTCTTGCTGGGCTGGCAGCAGGATGGGAGACAGGGCTTMAACCAGATGTGCAGCCATGATCTCCCAGGTCCAGATAAACACCCAGCAGCCACACACTGCCCCACACCTTGTCCCAGGGCCTTGTCCCAGTGCCTGGGGTGAAACCAGCCCAGCCCTGGCTGTGGAGGGACCTCTCATGTCCCTCATCTGGGGCTGTGTCTGGACAGGGCTCCCTGAGGGAAATKTCACCTAGAAACTTTCAAAGCAAGATTTGGCTACCAAGCTTCTTGGGAGGAGGAGTTAGCATCTAAGCTTTTGTGGGGGAAGGCTTAAAAAAGGCAAGRGATGCTCTGAAAGGCTCAKTTTAAATAGGTAAARACTCTGAAATCCATAGAAATTAAAGACAAGAAAATAYTTGTGGTGTCATTCCTGCTCCTCTGCTCCGTGCTCAGTGTCAGCCACCAACAGCAGCATCGTGCTGTAGGTAAATATGTATTATATATATATATGTATATATATATGTATTTAAACACACACATGTTCAATGGACCACTTAGCCTGTAAACACTTCCTAATTAATGCTGTAATTTTTTAAAAGCACTTATGCACATGGCTGTGATAATTTCTCTCTAAAAAAGAGGAATTACTCTCACTGCCTGTTAAATCATGGCCGAATGCTCGTGAAGGGAAGTAGCGTGGCCCCCAGCAGCCCCTTCCTTGCACAGTCAGCCTTGCCAAAAGAAGGGAAAAGGCCACTGGAGCCTTTGGGGGAGCTGCAGTGACACTCTGGGGATGAGCTGGGGGTGGCTGGTAACGCTCGGCTGCGGCGGGGCATTGCTTCATCGCCCGCCTTCCTTCCTGCCGGCCCCSAGCGCTCTTCCTCCGCCTGCTCCCTCTGCAGAGCCCAGCCCGGGCTGGACGGCGTGAGTCAAGCAAGAAAAAAAAAAAATTAACAGATCCTTTTGCAACGTTTTTTTGCTGCCCGTTTATGTCTCTGGTTGGCTGGGGATGGGGCCACCCTGGCATCTTCACCCCACAAAGTTCGGGGATGAAACASCAAAGCAATGATGGATTCGAGTGGTGAGGTGGGACAGAGGCAGACAGCGAGAGGAGGCTGCTTTGTAAAACTTTATTTAGAAATATTCTTGATATATTCATTATATATATATATTTATATATACACACACATTACAACAAATGTGTTTTCTAAATAGCACATCCACAGTGGGTTGAGACTCAGGGTACCAGGTCTGGTTACTCCATTCCTGCAGAAAAAATGCAGAAATCCAAGGGGAGGGTGTTCAGAGAAGGGGGATGGGGCTGGAAAAAACCAAAATTCATAAGGCAGGAATTCACTCACACGGTACGACATTGCCCCAGGGCGCTGCTTCCAACAGGAATGGGGGGTGATGGCCCACACGGCGAGAGATGAAGCAGGCAGGAGGAGATGTGGGCAGAGGAAATGTACCATTCAAATCACGATTAAAGTACGACTGTACATAGCCCGGGGGGTCTGTGTGTGCCCGGGGGTGTTTGGGGGTGCTGCCACGGCTGTACCATTTTCCCAGCTACCGAGAAGATAAAAACAAGGAGGAATGAATTTGTGTGGAATGAGGAATTTCTGAGGAACGGTGAATTATTTTTTTCTTGTGACAGTGTAATGACGAGGGTGTAGAAACCCCGCATACCCCACCAGGGGGTATTTTGGAACYAGGAATGGCTTTACCTGTGTGACAGCACCCCTTCCCTTCCCCAAGGCCCCCCTGGCAGCCCCCCTGCTCTTCTCTCCTACCTCTGGCACCAGTACCAGTCCAAACTCTTCCTCAGCATCTCTTCCTCACCCTCCAGCGCCTTCCCTGGCCCAGCCCTGCAGTAACCCCCTCCAGTAAAAACCCCCGTGCACAGGCAATCCAGACMTGAAAGTTTTCCTCCTTTCCCCCAGTTTAAGATGGGAGAGATTGGTGCTTTCCAAGAATTATGTGACTATGCTGGAAATCCTTGCATGGGCCAGGATCCCTTCCCAGGCATCTAATTCYGCCTGACATGCCAAGCCACATGCCAGACTCTTACCTATTATTTACAAAGAGGCATCAAAACCAAGCAGGGATGGAAATGACAGGGCTCTGAATTAAGCCTTGCAGACACCCACTCGAATTCTCTGTGTTCTCTTGTACCTCAGCATCCTTGGGAAGGCACGAGCACGGTGGAAGGTGTCCCTGCTCAAAAGATTTATTCCTTTCCAAAGGATGTTTGTGTGTGGGTTTGGTTTTTTTTTTGGTTTTTTTTTTACCGTATCACAATAGAGATTTCTGTGCCTTGACACCTCTGCAGAGGGAGAGGATGGGCTTGGGGCAATTGCTCCATCAGGAGTGGGGTGGACAGGGATGGCCTGATGCAGGTGATGGCACTGTGTGGTTCTGAGCTCCCAGCCACCACAGCAGCAGCCTCCTGTCCTCCTGTTCCCCAAACACCCACCCTGTGAGGGGCAGCAGGASCAGAGGATCAGCTCAGCCACAAATTGTTCAGTTTCGCAGCAATCTGAGCATTCAGGAATGGAGGCTAATCCCACCAYTCTTTTTACTGCTTCCCACAAGATTCAGAGAGGCTGTGGGCCCCTWCCAGCCTCGACAGGTGGGGACCTTCCTAATGCCAGAATAAATCCAGCMCTGTTGTCCACACTGAGGGCATTGGCACAGCTGAACCACCATTTTCACACAATAAAACCAAAAAATTCAAAGCATATCATTAAAACCCTTTTATAACCCTATGTACACGCACACTGATGATACATCATTGACTCCTTTTGCCCTTTTTTTTTTTTTTTTTTTTTTTTTTTTGCT